TGGTGGCATGGTCATTCACATCTGTCTGTCTGTCAGAGTCACAGTGTTGGTGGCATGGCCATTCACATCTGTCTGTCTGTCAGAGTCACAGTGCTGGTGGCATGGCCTTTCAGCTCCCAATTCATCCTCTCTGCCCGCTCTGTCAAACTGGGTCAGGTCTTTTAAAGCATTTTCCCCTCAGGTGAGGTAATGCTAAGCACGTCAGGAGAAGTCAGTGGAAACAAAAGAAAGAAGACTGCAAGACAAGACAGCCATGCTTCTTTGTTCTGAGGGATCGCCTGGGAGGCTCCCACGGTGCAGGCTCTCCTGGTTCAGGCTCCTGCACTGTCCAGCTATACAGAGGACACCTTCAGTCACCTCCCCTCTTTCCCAAGCACCTTAGAAAATCAATTTCCAGCAAGTTCTCCCAGTGTGGCTATGCAGTGAGCCACAGGTATGTCCCGTGCAAGGTCAGCTTGGAGGCGATGGCGGCCATTACTCCTACATTTTAAAGGTCCCTTTTGGACTAGCCAGCCCATTGCTACCCCAATCTCCTGTTGTAATGACTGATTCTTTGTTCAGGGGCAGGGAGACAGCTCAGCAGGTAAAGGAGCCTGAAAATCTGGTGGACAGACAGAAATGACTTCTGCAAATTGTCCTCTAATCTCCACATGCACTGCAGCACACCCACCGGGGGACACCCACCCTCCCTCTACCCATCCCTAAGCAAATGAAATGAAAAAAATTAATAAAGACCAGAGTCAAAACCCAACAGTGGTGGCCATAGCACACACCTTTAATCCCAGGACTCAGGAGGCAGAAGCAGGCAGATCTCTGTGAGTGTGAGGCTAGCTTGATCTACAGAGCTCGTTCCAGGACAGCCAGGGCAACACAGAGAAACCCTGTCTCAAAACAAAACACCACACCACAACACATATAGAGAGAGGATTCTACAGTTAGAAGCATTTCCTGCTCTGGCAGAGGACCTGGGTTCAGTTAACAGAACCCGTGTGGCAGCTCAGAACCATCTCCTAACTGCTGTTTTAGAGGATTCACTACCCTCCTTCTTCTGGCCTCCTTGGGCACAGCTACACATACAGTGCACAGACACACAGGAAGGCAAGGTACTCATATATAAAATAAAGGTAAATAAGCCTTAAAAACAAAACCAAAAAAGAAAACTCTAAACTTTCATGTTCAAATTACTGTGTGCTTTCTCTGGCCCAGATGGAGAAGCACCAGGCTATTAAAGATGTGTTTAGCTGGGGGAAGTTTTCTCACCTAACACAGTGTTCAAGGAAGGCCTGGCTGGGCTGTACATTGCATACAGCAGGGTGAGGGAACTACAACTTACTTTAAAATGACTATTCTGTTACATGTTTTCCCGACAAGATTTCCACTTTAGATTGTGTCATTTTCTTGGACACAGAGGACTAAGAGGTTTGAAAAACGACCAGCTAAAATATGTCACTTGAGGCATCTTAAAATGCGGTCATTGCCGGAACCCACGATAAATGAATTATATACTCTACACATTTGGAGGTTAAATAACAAAGCTGACATTAATTATGTTTTAAACTCACCTTCTATCCCACCCCTGCGCTGCCCGCCCCCCCAGCACACTTAACTACCACATCCTGAGAGATGCTCCATGGCGGAGCATCTGCAGAGACTCCTCCTGGGATGGGCAACAGTGTTAGCCTCACCAAGACATCTAAATTTCCCTTCCCTTCACTATAACAGACCAAGTCAGGTTCAAATTCCTGTGTGTGTGTGTGTGTGTGTGTGCGTGTGTGCGCGTGTGTTTATGTGACTTGTACCTGTGAACGTGTCTGCATTTTAGCTTCCCTTGACAGGGTCTCATGTATTTCTAGCTGGCCTCAGACTCACGCAGAGATAACCATAGTCTTTTGGTCCTTCTGCCTCCACTTTCTGGTGCTGGGATCCCAGGTGTGCATCACCACACCCGGGTGCTGTCACCCAGGGCGTCCTGCATGCTAGGCAGTCACTCTGCCAACTGAGCCGATCCTAGCTCCTCTGCTGAGCTCCCAGGCCTAAGGCAAGAATTCTTCCGACCACTTGAGCCTACCAGGAGACTCAGCAGGTTTGGAAAGAGAAACGATGCTCGTAAATGTCCCCCTAAAACTCAAGTGTTGAAGGAGCCATCGCAGCCAGTGTCTAGGGCCTTTGGGAGATGACTGGATCATGAGGGCTCTGACCTCATGGGTGAGGCAACCCATTTATGGACTCCCAGGGTTTGGTGATGGAGCCCTTCTTGCTTTCTCTGAAAGTGTTTCTTCTAGGATGTTTAGCCTCAGCAGACCTAAGCAACCATGGACTGAAGGAGTGAGCCCAAGCACACCTTTCCCACTTGAGTGTTTGGGATATCTCATCTCAGCAATTGAAATGTAACACAATGCTCCACTATTATCTGTAAAGTGTTCTGAGCTGTTAGTTACTGTCCAAGGAGTACCAGAAAAAAAAAAAAGTGCCACCAGATGACTTCAGGTGCAACGGAGCAGAGTGAGAATCAGCTATACAGGCAGGACTTTCTGACAAGTGGATCTGAGGCTCTCTTCTGACCTCTGCACATACATGGTGCACACACATACATGCAAGCAAAACACTCACATATAAAAGAGCTACGGAAGAGGTTCCGTGGAACAGTGGCAAGCAGGAAAGGAGGACTTTTCTTCTCTGCCGATGCAAACACTCATTTCTAATAAAGGAAACATACTTAGGCAGGACACAGGGGACAGTGATGTCCACGGAGTCAAGGCGCTGCAGTCTGTGTGATTCATGGCATGGCTCCCACAGCTGCTAAGACTCAAGTCACCTGGACTCTGTGCTAGGAGGCAGGCCCTCTGAGGTGCTCGGAGACAGCCTGTGCCAGCACTCTTTAGCCCAAACTGGCAAACTAGTCATTTGTTCTTTTCGAGAATTTGTTTTACAGATGACACTCCCCCTCCCTCACATATACGTACCACACTCCTTTTTGTTTTTGTGAGCTTCCAGAAAACGCACGCACACACGCACGCACGCACGCACGCACGCACGCACGCACGCACACAGGTTTAGAACAGTGAGAGTCTCTGTGTGACACAGTACTAGCAAACGTATGTATTCACACATTTATGTAACTGTACAAATTA